CCAGAAGGCTAGCGGTTCAAACCCATGAGTCACTCCTCGGAAGGAAGGTTGGGCAATCTATTTCCGTAGTGATAGTGCCTCGGAAACCCAAGGAGGGGTCACTATGAGTTGAACTGTCTGACTCAACGGCACATAACAACATCAAGTACCAGGGACATAGAGACAGACTCTGATATCAAGAATTTCCCAGCTATGCAATTTTAAATTGGTGTAAATAGAAGGATGTACAAGATGCAGATGTCACCAGGAGACAAAGCAGAAGGGCCTTAAGACAACATGATTTCTGATCCATATATATCTGATCTTTCATATAGCTGAAACTCTGGGTAGTGCAAATTATTAAGTGCTCAATTACTAACTGAAAGGCTGGCAGTTCAAACCCACCCAAAGATGTCTTGGAAGAAAGGCTTTGTGATCTACTTCCAAAAAATCAGCCTTTGAAAACTCTACAGAGGACAGTTCTACTTAAACATATGGGGTCACCATACTTTTTTTTTTTTTAATTCTTAAGGCTAGAATGGCACAACTTCATCTCAGATATGTTTGGACATGTTATCAGGTGGAGTAGTCCCTGAAGGACATCATGCTTTGTAGAGGTTCAGCAACAAGACCTTCAGAGCGATGGATTGACATAAGGCTGCAACAGCACACTTCAACATGGCATAGGATGGGCAGTGACAATGGCATAGGAATGGGCAGTGTTTCATTCTGTTGTTCATAGTGTTGCTATGAGTCTGAACTGACTTGATCTCACCTAACAACATACCTATGGATGAATCTCATTTGGGAGTTTGGTTTTCTTTGTTATATTAATGAGGCCATTTCATTATATTGATGTGTGCCATTGAATTGATCCCCACTCATAGTGACCCTACAGGACAGAGTGGGACTACCTTAAAAAGTTTCCTAGGCTGTAATCTTTAAGGGAGCAGGTTGCCAGGCCTTTTCTCCCACTGAGCCACCAGTGGGTTCTAACTGCTGATCTTTGGCTTAGCAGCTGAGTACTCAAGCATTGCACCACTCAAAGAAATCATTATCACAGAGTCAATTCCTACTGCTAACCATCCATGGGACAGAATAGAACTGCCTCATAGGATTTCCAAGTCTGTCATATTTATTGAAAGGAGTCCTGGTGGCACAGTGATCTGCTCCCATAAAGACTATGCCTTGGAACCCCATGAGGTGGTTCTACTCTGTCCTATAGAGTCACTATGAGTCTAAATCAACTTGATGGTACATGACAACAATCTTTATGAAAGCAGACTGCCACATTTTTCTCCCACAGAGCAGCTAGTGGGTTTGAATCACCAATCTTCCAGTTAGTAACCAAGTGCTTAACCACTCCATTACCAGGGATCCTGTTGCACCACCAGGGTTCCTTATATCAGTGTGCAGTAAGTTTTAAACCACTCACTTCTGAGATATAAAAGAGGAGGTAAGACACAGAAGCAAGGAAACACAGACAGAGGAAGATAGATGCCAGGCCACATGAATAAAGAAAATTCAGACTTCTGGCTTCCTAAACTGTGGGGAAAAAAAAAAAATGTATTTCTGTTCATTAAAGCCACCAATGTGTGGTATTCCCATCATAACAGCACTCAGAAATTAATGTACCATTACAAATAAATTCAGAAAAATGGAGGGTCTGGTTGGGCCTAAAACTCAGAGGTATGCAAGATTCTCAGATATGGACTTGTTTATTCATTTATTTTTTTAAAAGTAATTAATCTTCCAAATAAAACACTGCCAAACATTTATACTTGAACTGTACTAGATATTTGTAATAGACTGGGGCTATTTGGTACTGTTGAGAAATAACATATCTTTAAAATTGTTGGTTAGGCAATAGCTCCTGAATAATAGTTTATTTGAGATGATTAATCAGTTGAGGCCTGCCTGCAGACATAGGGGCACAGCATTATAAATCACATCTTATTCTCATTCATAGGAAATGAAATGATGTTAATTTTTTGGACATGATTTATCATTTGCCAGTTATATCTGGTATCTATATGGACTAGGAGAATGGATGGATTGTCTTATTAAAAACTTCACCTTTTGCTATTATGTTCTCTGCATAACTAGAGAAAATCCATGAGCAGAGACTACTGTGTATCCCAGTATTAAGTGGTGCTGAATTACTGATGGAAGAAAAAATTTATAGATGAGTTTCTTTGTTAACAGATAAGCAAAATAAATGCCAGCATCTGGGATTTTCAAACCACTTTGTACAGGTATCATTTGATCTGTTACTTTTGTTTTTAAGGACATCTGCTTACTACTTGCATATTCTGTGTGCTCCTTCAGAAGCATGGAGACTAATATAGATGTTATGCCTTGAGATAAGAGTCCTTTTTTCTTCTGATACAATTCCCTTTTCCTCTTGGTGATATGTAATCTCAAAATAAAAGAAGTTGGCACTATTTTATGAAATGTCACTTTCACTGCCTGATATTTTACTCTGTTCCTAGCCCGTCATTGTGAAAGCTGGTCACTGGGGCCATTATAGCTGGTGAAAATGGTATGATGTCTACTTTAATCCTAATAGGATTATTAACATGATACTATAAAGAAATTTAATCAAATAGCTGTATATTCTTGTAAGTTCTCCTGATTAGGGGGACCCAAAATTGTATTGTCTCCTACAGTGTTCCCTATAGCCCTTGCATTATGTCACCTTAGTCTGCAGGACTTCCTGGTGTTGTGGACAGAGAACAAGGCTTTAGGGCCAGGCTTGCATTATACACCTGTTGTTGTTATACACTCTCAAGTCAATTCCAAATCATACTCCCAGTTAATAAGTGTGCATCTTTGGACACTTGGAATTGCAAGTTCCTTGTCTGCACAATGGAAATAAGAATATGCATCTCATAGGTTTGTCTTGAGGATTGAATGAGCACTTAGCAGTGAGCCAGGTAAAGAACGAAGGTTTCTTATGTGTTAGTTATTACTGATATTTTTATTACATATAAGGCTACCCAAAAAACAAAACCCACTGCCATTGAGTCATTGCCAATTCATAGCAACCCCTATTGGGTTTCCAAGGCTGTAAATCTTTACAGAAGTAGATTTTCCTCATCTTCCTCCCATGATACAGGTGGTGTGTTTGAACCATGACTTTCTGGTTAACAGCCAAAAGCCTTACTCACTATGCCACCAGAGCTCCTTATATATGAGGCTAAAACCAAAAAATCCAAACCCACTGCCATGGAGTCAGATCAGACTCATAGTGACCCCTCTGTGAGTTTCCAAGGCAATATCATTATGGAAGTAGATTGCCCAATATTTCTTAATTTATTTGAATCTTAGGCTTTCATTTGTAAAATGGAGAATAATAATACGATTTTTGCAGTATTTCCCTGGGCCTCTTTTTTTTTTAAGGGAGGACGGAAGAGAATTTGTTGGCAGACTTGGGAAGGGCCCCCATGGTTGACCGGGGAGTTAGACTTTATCTTGTAGGGAAAGAGGAAGCTTAGACTGTTGGAAGCAGGGATAGAAAGATGGAAAGTGCATTAGTTAAGGTTCACTAGAGAAACATCTAACAACCAACAGGAGAGAGATAAATAGAGAGAGAGCTATCTGTATATCCACTCATCCATCCATCCTTCCATCTGTGTATAAAGATAGAGATAGCGAAATGTTTTAAGGAATTGCCTCATACAGTTGTGTTGTTGTTGTTGTTATGTGCTGCAAGTTGTCTCTGACTCATAGAGACCTTCCTTGAGTTTCCAAGGTGTTATCTCTAAGCAAGTAGATTGCCCAATCTTCCTTCCCAGGACTGGCTGGTGGATTTGAACCACTAACCTTCTGGTTAGCAGTCAAGTGCCTTAGGCACGGATCCTAGTGCCCTCTGGTGGCTATCATCCATATGTGCCCCTGTCAGTGACTTCTGGGGCACAAGGGCATGGCAGTGTGGAGGCCTGTATATCCTAAATCCATAGGTCAGGCAGCAGGCTGGAAAGTCCGGAAGGATGTCTGTGTCCTAGTTTTGAGACCAACCTCCTTCTCCTCTCAGTAACCCCAGTTTCTGCTTTTAAAGCCTTCAACTGATTGGATAAACCTCAGGCACACATATTATTGAAAGTCATCTCTTTTACTAAGAGTCAACTGCTTGTACATGTTAATCACATCTGTGAAATACCTTAACAGCAACATCTAGACTAGTGTTTAACCAAACAACTGGGCGTTGGAGTATAGCCAAATTGACACATAAAATTAACCGTCGTAACACTCAGATTGAGTGTTTGCTGGGGCTTTGTGGCTGCTACTGTAAGAAAGGGAGAGGGCAGGAGTGGAGGTGGGAAGACTGAGAAGAGAGGGTGTAGCAAACACCCAGGTGAGGGATGCTTTAAGTTTGGGGCAGAGGGAGGGGTGAAGCAGTCGGAGAGAGGACATTTCTTATTTTTAATTTTTTTTATTGTGCTTTAGGTGCAAGTTTACAGAGCAGAGTTTGTTTCACATTCAACATTTTGTGTACATTTAGTTTCACTTCCTCAATTACCATCCCCAGCCCTAACCCAGTCCCCTCCCCTCCCTTCCCAGTAACCCTCCACCAACCCACCACCCCACCACCTCCAAACCCCTCATAGTTATGCACTCCTGTGTGTCCTGCATTTCCTCCATGCAAATATTGCCCCTCTGGTGCCCCATGGTTGATTGTTCTGAGGGATGCATCTCCATAGGGTATGTGGGTGTGTCACCCTGGGTTGAGTGGTCTGTATGTACATCTTGTTTACTATTAGGCTGAGAGCGAGCCCCTGGGAGTGAGATTTATTCCAGGCTCAAAATGTATCCCAGGTCCATAGTATTGGGGTTCTCACCAGACTCCATGTAACCAGTAATTCTGGTCATTATAGTGGTTTTGGATTTTGTTCTACATTTTCCCTCTATCCAGGATCTTCCCTGGGCCTTTGATATTGATAATAGATTTAGCTGAGCAATTAGTTATGAACTATGTGTAAAGGAGTTCTAATAATAGAAATTATTTTTCCTTGTTACAGGGATGATGAATATTATATTGAAGACACACCAATTTATGGCAACTTAGATAATGTGGTCCCAGGTATGTTTTCTTTTTCCATAAATTAAATGGATTGATTATATTAGGGAATAACCCATTTTAGTCCACAAAGGATTTGAAGTGGCTTATTTTTATCATAATCACATTTGAATACCCCAATGGAAACCATAAATTCAGGAGAGATTATAGCTGTTTAGTATATATTTCTAAAACTACATCTTATAAGATATAATGCAACATTCAGTGTAAATCAACATCCTGTTTTTCTGTATTATCATTATTTCACTCTAGCAGTAATGAGAACACAGGAAGACTCAATTACCATGAATTTCAGCATGCAGAATTCTATGAAATAAAGCTATTTCTAGAACAGAAAATGGTCTGCAGAAAAAGTGCTTTGTGCTCTGTATACAAAAGCAAGTCATCTGGACAATGAACACTTTCTCTGATTTCCCTTGCTTTAACACATTCTTTTTAAAGTGGAGTGCCTAGGGCTGGAATGATGGCAGGTGGGTGAAAAGAAGAACACTAAATAATCACTGAGTGGTTTAAACGTTTTTTGTTCTTATATAATGAGTGCTCTTCAATTCCTAGCATTCTCTGTTACTTAGAAAGTCCCAACCAACTAAAAACAAAACCTCTCTAAATTCTTCAAAACGGACACCCCTAGTCAGGTCCAGAGCTCTGATGAGAGAAGCTTCTAGGATAAGGCTTGTTTTTAATGCAGCTTTTTCCCTCCAAGCATTCTCTTGCCTTAATTTGTGATAGGAGACTCAGGATTAATTCCTGTCAATCTCTAGGTCTCTCACTGAGGGACTTTGAGTAAGGTACTGACTTTATCTGCATATGTCTATATCAAAGCAGGAAGAAATTCTAGTCTGGACTATGGGGATTTTATTTTATAGATTCCAGAATTTGTTTAAAATTTTGTCTTTCTCTCCTTTCACCACAATGTGAAGAGCAAAACCTCTAATCTCTGTACTCTTAAGTAATCAAATATTATTAAAAGTTGTTTACTGTCCTGTTTTGCAAAATCATGGTGCCAACCTGTTATATTTGAAGATGTGTGCATTCTCATGAATTTTTGTGACTCAAAGCCCACCATATCTATAATTCCCATTCCCAAGGGAGCACAGGTGTTACCTCATATATTCTGATTTAGGAGGTCCAGAATGTTGTTAGATGCTCATGAGTTGATACCAACTCATGGTGATATCATTTGTACAGAGACCCATGGTGATATCATTTACACAGAGAACTACTCCATCAGGTTTTCAAGTTTGTGACTTTTTGGAAGCACATCAATAGGCCTATCTTCAGGCACCTCTGGGTGGGTTCAAATTGCCAACTATTGTCTAGGAGTCTGCTATTTAACAAACCTGCCAGGTTTCTTATGCAGATTTTCCAAGGACTACTCTATAGACTCTTACTCTGTTTTGATTTTCATAAAAAGTTGAAATATATCTTTGTTCTCTATAGGATCAAAATGGTATAATCCTTTTTTTTCTGCCTGGATACTTACCATCTCACCAGTCACTACCCCTCCTTAATATCCCTTTCAAATAGGAGTGGCTGCTGGCAGAAAGGCACAAGAAGATTCATTAAGCATGCACCTAACAAGAGGAAGTCAGTACAGGTCTGCTGACTCTTAGACCTAACACAAGAGACCCAAATATTTAGGAGCAAATAACACAGACCCAGACCCTTAGGGCAACCTGGCCAATCTGTCTTCCACTAGGGAACATCATAACCTAAACTCTCTTTTTAAAAAAAAAAAAAAAAAGAAAAAAAATAGAATGTAGGGTTTAAAATGCCTCTGAGAAAAACTTCTTACTCATAGACCAAATTACCAAGTTGGAATCATCCATATATGTGCTGTATGGCTCATGCTACACAGGCCACATTCACTCATTCTTAAATAGTAGAGTACAGAGTCCTTTAACCCTTGGGTTCTCTACAAGATCTAATGGTAGTTTAAGTCAAGAGTAGCAATGGTCTGAAAAAAAGTAATATGATCTAATCATTATTTCAAATGACATTTTTTTTTGTCTTATTAATGCTATGAAACACAAGACTTCTCTACCTTCAGATCTATAAAGAACAATTTGGGCTTCTCTACCTCTTCCCTAGGAGCTCTGGTAGCTTAGTGCCTAAAGCACTTGACTGCTAACCAGAAGTCTGGCGCCTCAAACCCACCAGCCAGTCCTCGGAAGAAAGATGGGGCAATCTACTTCCATAGTGATACTGCCTCGGAAATCCAAGGAGGGGTCGCTATGAGTCGGTTCCGACTCGATGGCACATAACAACAACAACAACCTCTTCCCTACCAACACAGGAACTAGTCAAGTGATTTTTGGGGGTCTCATATCTACAGCTAAATATTGTTAGGATCATGTACTTATTTGTGCTAGTATCTTCATTTTCTCATTGTAAAATCATGATCTTTTCAACTTCCAAGAAGCAACAGATGAAAATTACTATGAGCAAATGAAAGCCCGACCAGAGAGATCTGTGAATAAACTGCAAGACACCTCCCTACCTGCACAGGTGTGTTTTACTTTCTCTTTCAAGGGTCAAATTCTGCCGACTCATAGCAAATATCATGTCTCAAAGGCATAAAAAGCATAAATTCTGATGCACCTCTGATGCAGCCTGCCAGGAATTTTATATTTTGAATCAAGTGTCAAGTTCTGCGACCTGAGTTTGAGTTTTACAGACGTGCTCAAATGCAAGTAAAAAGGACCACATTTGATTAGTAAAAATTGTGTATAATCATAAAGGCAATAGATTTAAAGTGAAACATGGTTTCTATCCCCAAATAATGAATTAAGCCATTTTTTTTCAGACAAAAATTTAAGTGCCTCACAGACATAAGTATAAAAGTTGATATATATATATATATATATATATATATATATATAAAACTCACAAAACCAAAAGAAAACTGAACTCATTGCCATCAAGTTGATTTGACTCATAGAGACCGCTCCTTGGGTTTCCAAGATGATATATCTCTATGGAAGTAGATTACCCAGTCTTCCTTCTGAAGAGTGGCTGGTAGGTTTGAACTGCCAGCCTTCTGGTTAGCAGTCAAGTGCCTTAGGCACTGTGCCACCATGCTGACAAGACTGAGGAATTCAAAAGAGAGAGGAGAGAAGGGGAGAGTAGGAAGGCAGAGGATAAGAGAGAAAGGAGAAAGAAGGAATACTTGATAAGAAATTAGCTGTGTATAAACAGCTGTCTGTTCTATGAGACAAATGTGTGCAAATTTTCATACAAGTTCTGTGGCTGTGTTCGTATGGTCAGAACTTGTGAAACATACACATAGCTTCTATGGGGATAAACCAGTTTGCTATTGGGTCGATTCTGACTCATGGAAACCCCATATGTGTCAGAGTAGAACTGTGCTCCATAAGGTTTCCAATGGCTAACTTTTCAGAAGTAGATTGTCAGATGTTTCATCTGAGGCACCTCTGGGTAGATACAAATCACCACTCCTTTGGTTAGCAGCAGAACACATAAACCATTTGTACCACCCAGGGTCTTCAGTATGGAAATAGGCAAGTCAAAACCCTAAGTGGAAATACAAAAACCCAAGAAGAAATGCATAGTTTCTTTTTCTAACACAATCAGTTCAACTCTTCAGAATATAGCACCAATTTCATTAAATATCATTCAAAATCCTTAGCCTGCTTGCTCCTGATGTATTGTAAATTTCAGTTAAAATGTTTTTTCTTCTTTCCCTCCCAGACTTTATCCCTTCAATTATGTCTTCTCTCCCTGTTCTAGAAATGGTAATAGAGCCAATATTTCCTGAGCAGTCATTGTGTGTCAGTCATTGTGTTGCGTGCTTCACAGGTACTATTTCCTTTGACTCCTGTGATGCAGACAGCATTATCATTCCCATTTTACAGAGGCTTATAAAGGATAAATAACTTTCCCTAGAGAACTCAGGTACTTTGTAGGAAGACAGAATCCAAACTTAGTCCTACTAACCACAGACAACATTCTCCTCTCAGAAATGTTTCACAGCGTGGAAACTTCCCATTAAGGTAGAATTTTTCTCTATTTCTTTACATGAGTCCCCTAAGAAATCAGACTTCTTGAAAGTTTTCTTTAGGTTTAGGCAAGCTGTAAAATCACCACCTAACAAGCAAATCTGTGGTCTCTTGTTCAGTTAATTTATTTTCGGATTAAGTGTATGAAAAAACTGCATGATATAATCTGCTAGGGAGCTCTGGTGGCATAGTGCCTAAGGCACTTGACTGCTAACAGAAAGCTGATGGTTCAAATCCACCAGCCACTCCTCGGAAGGAAGGTTGGGCAATCTACTTCCGTAGCGATACTGCCTCGGAAACCCAAGGAGAGGTCGCTATGAGTCAGATCCAACTCCATGGCAGTGGTTGCATTTTGCATTATAATCTGCTAAATCTATTATTACAAAAGAAAACTTCTCAAAGAAGTGTACAATTTAACCATACCATTTGAAATGTAGAGATTCACAGTGCCTCAGTGGTGAAAGAACTGAGAATTCTGAATAGAGGCTATTGTTTAATACATATGAATTGTGTAGGCCAGCTTCATTTGAGCTGCATTTGTTTTTAGTATTATTATTTTTATTTTTTTATTATGATTTGTGTGAAAGTTTATAAAGCAAGTTCATTTTCCATGCAGCAGTTCATATACATTTTGTTTCATGACATTGATTGCAATCTCTATAATGTAACAGCTCTCTCCCTTCTTCCTCCCTGTGCCTTTCTTTCTTATGCCTTTCTGCTTTCTAAGCTATCTCCCTGTACAAATTCTGCCCTTCTGCTGCTTATGCACAGGGAGACAGCTCAGGGGGCAGTAGTCCATGGAAGGATGGACACAGGGAAGAGGTAACTATGGGGAGGGGAGCTGTTGCATTGTGGTAAACTGTAGTCAATGTCATGAGACAAAGTATATGTGAACTGCTGTATGGAAAGTGAATTTGCTTTGTAAATCTTCACCCAAATCACAATAAAAAAAAAAAAAAATTCTGCCCTTCTGATCTCCTATGGATTGATGGTTCCAAGGGATGTACCCACTTGGTGCAAATGTTCACTTTATATGCCTATTGTTTGGCTGGAAGCCATGGGAATGAGTTCAATTCCAGGTCTGAAGGGTGACTCAGGGGAGCTGCATCTGGTTTTTACTCAAGTGGAAATTGTACAAAGCCTTAAAATGTCATTTAAAGTCTAAGATTTCAGAAATTATACATTTAAAGATAATTCTAAGGAAATTAGTCCAATTACATTACACCCTTCTCACAAATTTATTTTCACGTATTACAAGTAATCTCTTTATGTTTGCTCAATTCCATTTGATTAGAATAATTATCATCAAAAACACATACTGTTTGCTACTACAATACTTACTTCACTATTTTAGTCAATTACAAAAGCAAGAGGAATCTACAGCATTATCTATACAGCTAAACCTATATTTATTTCTTGAAAAGAAGTTAAAATAACTCATTGCCCAGTGGGAATGATGATATGTACGGTTGAGAAGTTGAAATTTTCGTATCTCGGTCTACTATTAATTAGAATCAATCAGGGAACATAGTAATGAAATAAGAGCCCACAAGAGCTCCAATATTCTAAATTAATAGGGGCATTAGTGATCTTTCTCCTCTTCCCCCATATCTATGTCAAAATTTCTAACCAATCTCCTGCCCACCCCCCGCCTCCTGTATCAGCAGCACTTTCTTTCTCCCTAACAAGGCTAACGCTCTTACTTAAGCTCTTGACTGCCTCTCCCATTTCTTTTAGGACTTTATGACTTCAATTATTTATTTTTTATCCATATTTCAATTGTTCTTTAAATGGATATTACAATTTGCCTACCAATAAGTGCCAGTCTCCCCAATATTTATAATAAAATGAAGAATACAACATAACTTACTTCAACCTGTTTTTTTCCCCCCTTCTAACAACTGAACTGGTTATCACTTTCCTTTATTTTACTGTTTCCATTTCTTTCCACCAGTACATATTTCTTTACTTCTGGCAGTATGTCTTCCACCATCTACTCAACTGAAATAGCACTGTGGAAGTTATAAGCGACTATCCAATTCGTACCTTTCTCAGGACATACATTCTTTGAAGTCTGTTACATTTGATGAACTTGGCCAATTGTTCACTGCATATGAATTATTTAAAATGCTCTCAGTTATGAGTGCAGAATAATTATTCAAATCACTCTCCATATAAAGGAACTTATTGGCTCATAAAACTGGGAAAGCTAATGGTGTATTTTGATTTTGGGATGACTAAATATGGAGGCAATCTCTGTTTCCTCTCTACTTCTCTGTTACCAACTTTATTCTCTTCTCATATAGAATCCCTCTACTATGTAGGCAAATAATTGCAAGACCCCGATTTTTATCCTTCCACCAATCAACCGGAGGGAATAAGCATCTTTTCTATCTCTGAATCCCTGAATCTACATATCAATCCCAAAGATGTCACCTAATTAAAAATAAAAAACAGTTGACATTGAGCTGACTCAGACACATCATGACCCTATGTGTGTCTGAGCAGAATTGTGCTTCATAGGGTTTTCAGTGGCTGATTTTTCAGAAGCAGATCAGCAGGCTTTTCCTCTGAGGTGCTCTAGGTGGATTTGAATCTCCAACCTTCAGTTTCCAACTGAATGCATTAACCATCTGCACCAGGGAATTTTCATCTCATTACAAAAACCAAAAAAACAAACTCATTGTTGTCAAGTCAGTTCTGACTCATAGTGACCCCTTCTGAGGTGGTATCTCTACAGAAGTAGATTGCCCAGTCTTTCTTCTGAGGGGTTGCTAGTGGATTTGAACCACCAGGCTTCTGGTTAGCAGTCAAATATCTTCGGTACTATGCTGCCATTTGACTGCTAACCAGAAGGCTGGCAGCTCAAACCCATCAGCCCTCCTCAGAAGGAAGACTGGGCAATCTATTTCCTTAGTGATATCACCTCAAAAATCCATTTTACAGGCAAGAAAACTGAGACTCAGAATAATTTTTAAACACTGCCCAAGGTATCATGGTTTGTATTTGACATAGCAGAGATTCAATCGTAAACTTTCTGGCACCAAATTCAATGTCTTGCCTCCAGGTCTGTTGCATCTCAGAGTCTCCCTAGTCTCCTGTCCTTAAACTAGTATTGACCCAGCCTTAGGCAAGAGAGAAAAGAAATTCTGGTGACATGATAGTTAAGTGCTTGGTTGCTAACTGAAAGTTTCATGGTTGAAACCCACCAACTCTACGGGAGAAAGACATGGAATCTAGTTCTATAAAGATTGCAGCCAAGAAAACCCTATGAGAAAGTTCTGTTCTGTCAAATAGGGTCACTATCAGGTGGGATCAACTTGGCACCCAACAGTAACAACAGGCCAGAGAGAACCTCCAGACTCTCTTAGACATAAATGGGTATCTCCAAGGCTAACCTAAAATGAGCTCAAACAGAATCTGGGGGCAGGCAAAAAAGGAAAGATATGAAATTTAATGATTTGCCATATGCCAGTCATGTTAATGAACACCATTATCTTTAAAATTCTGAAGCTCTAAAAGTGTAGGAAAATTGAGGATTTTTATATTAAGTGATCAAATATTAAGCAAATTGAAAATATGGTTTGTTAAATTCCTTCTTCTCATGCATATTCACAGTTTAACAAATTGGATAAAGTTCATTGGTAAGAGCCACATAGGACCAGAGCTATGTGAAGTGGCAGTAGGGGTGGGAACAGGTGAGAGGTCACCTAAAATCTTCATGTGCATTTTAAGTTTAAGAAAGAAATAACTATACAGAAAAAATTTAATCTAAGCATTTTTGTTTTCCACTTTAAAAGTCTTGAATTGGGTACTGTGTTCTTCCTGACATCCTAACTTGACAAATTTGGCAAACAAAGGTAACTGAGGAGCTCTGGTAGCATAGTGGCTAAGGCACTTGACTACTAACTAGAAGGCTGGTGGTTCAAACCCACCAGCCACTCCTCAAAAGAAAGGTTGGGCAATCTACTTCCATAATGATACTGCCTCAGAAACCCATGGAGGGGTCGCTATGAGTCAGATCCGACTCCATGGCACATAACAACAACAACAACAGCAACAAGGTAACTGAAGCCCAGAAAACAAGTTATTGCACTTATTTTTCGTAGGTTATATAAATTCTCAAGAGTCATCACAGCTAAAGAATGGCCTGTTGTTGGTGTTGCTAGAACGGCCTAGCTATGGAATATTAACATGCCTTTCTTTTTAGTCAGCAGATGAAACGCATATGTGCTATGCCTCACTAGATCACAGCTATAAAGGGAAGCAACGAAAGCCCAGGAAACAGACTACTCCTGTGTCACACAAGGATGAAGATGAGCAATTTCATGCAATGGATGCCAGCACATCTAATACCACTTTGGTAAACAGTATCCCACTAGAAAGCCAGGCAGTAGAGGAAAGCATTCATGATGATCCCATCAGACTATTTGGATTGATTCGAGCAAAGAAAGATACTATAAATTAGCTGGACTATGATGTAGCTGACTGATTCTGCTCTTATTAGAGGCAGTGTTAAAGAAAACAAGGTCCCCACATGACACAGGATGACTGCAGAGTGTTGGTTGGATCATTTGTTGGCAAGATGATGGTTCATCTATAATCCAGAGCACCTAATCTTGCACACCAAGTGTAATGTCATGAAAATTAGTTGTTTGAATTCATTTTTAAAGTGCCTAAGTATTAAAATATAAAATAAAATCAAGTTTACAAATTGAGCTTGATAACAAAGTCTCAATTTCAACAACACTTTATACTCAGGTAAATAAACATTTCTATTTTAAGCATAAGTATGTTCTGGAACACACTGAAAGAAAAATAAAAGTCAACAATGAAAAAAAAGTATTTTTCACCAGTGGGAAACATCTCATAATTGAAAGACCTTTCTAATTGTAAGTGTGGAAGATGTTAAAACACATTACCAATAGAAGTGGGATAATTTTCTCAGGTTTTATTTTTTGTTCAAATTGAAATATTTTATTAGGTTTAAAAATTACTATTAAAAAATGCACGTCCTTTGCAGTAATTAGACAAATATCACAAAGAATTTTAAATTGCCAATGGTCAAAGATAATCACTATTAGCAATTTTCTGAATATATTTCTAGATGTTTTTCTGTTTATGTCCATGTAAATATATCAGTTGTTTCACTGTTTTTACAAAACAAGGATGTATTATTTTAACATCATTTAAATGTTTTTCACGTAACAATATATTGAGGTTTTACTTCTACACTTACATTTAACTAAATATAGTTATACATCATAGTTTTTAATGTTTCTAGAACATCTCAATGATGGTTACATCAAGTTTATTTAAATAATTTTTGAAGTACAATATGCTTGTGTCCAACAAGTTTTCTTCTTTTACAAATAATATTGTACTGAGCATACTTCTTCACACATTTGGCTACTTGTCTGACTTCTTTATGCTAAATGCTTAGAAAAAAAATTGATTACTGTGTTAAAAAATCAATTGATAGCTTCATATTTTGAAGCTTTACTCATAATATACCTCCAGAAAATCTGAAGCAATTTACATTTTCTCTAATAGTTTAAGAGAATGTCTAATTTCCCACATTTACACAAACACCAATCTTCACCTTTCTTTTCTATCATATACATTCCTATTTGCCCATTTTGAGTATGTATTTCCTAATTTACTGATCAAGTTAATTGTCTTTCCATATGTTTATTGACCATTTGTAATTCTTCTTTTGTGAATTGCCTATTCACATCAATTTTTTTCTCATAGATTATTTTTCTTATTAATTTGCAAGAGATTGTTACATATTAATATTAATGCATTATCTACCAAATATTAATTTTTTCCCTTAGTTTGTCATTTGTGTTTTGAATTTGTTTTTTTCTGCTGTTTTAAAAGAAATACTTTTACAATATGTCACCCCTCCTTTTGGGTTTCTGCTTTTGTTGTAATGATCAGAAAAGACGTCCAACCTGAACATTATGAAAATAGCCACTGTATTGATTTCATTTTTGTATTTAATTATTTAATTATCTCAAATTAATTGAGGTGTAATAAAGATCTTACCTCATTTCGCTCCCAAATCTTAACCAGTTGTTCCAATGATTTATTCACTGATTACTTACTGAATAAGCCATCCTTTGACCACTGATTTGAAATCATGTATCACATTTCCTTCTTTACCATATATATCATATTCTTACATATTCTTAGGTCTGTCTATTCCTATTCTTCCATTGATGTATCTTCTCCCACCAGTACCATAATATTTTAGTTACCAGTTTTTCACATATATTTTGAATTTATGGTAAGACATACTTTCATTCACACCTGATTCCTCAAGATTTTCTCCTTTTCAGACATATTATTCTAGTGAATGAATTCAATCAGTTGTTTTCAAATGTAACCACTAAAACATAACCAAAGCTATATCTAACTCCCTCCCCCAAGAAAAAAAAGTATAATTAAAGAACCATTCAGGAACATCATGTTTCTTAAAATAAGTTTCTTAAAAATAAAATCTTCGGGGGTTCCAGCAAGATGGCAGACTAGGCAGAAGGACTGCACAGACACTCTTCAACAAAGAAAAGGGAAACCAATTAACACAGGCACAGAAGATATCTTGGACCCCTGAGCCTTGAAGGGAAGAATACAAAAGTGGACTAAACCCCACCTAGCAGAAGAATTTGCAGGAAAATACCAAAAAAGGAGACACACGGAGCTGCGGTCTGGCAGCAACCCAAGCGACTCTGATGGCACAGACAGCTTGGAGATTCCCGAGTGGTGGTAGGACCTAAGAATTAACCTAAAAACCACCCTGCTAGCCAGGGACTGCAAGGAGGACTGTGCACGGTGGCTGGGGAACAAACGGAGAAGGTGAAGAGAAAGATGGGCTGAGCTGTGGACTTCTGCAAGTCCAGAGGGCACCACCATTTTGAAGGTTTAAAAAGCAGCTTGACTATTTTGGATATTCAGAGACAGCGCTCTTGCAGATTTCTGGGGCTTAAGAACACGTTCTGCTTTCCAGCAACTCCAAGGACACTCGGGGCCTGCAAGACTGAAAAGGTACAACTTTCTTCTTGTTACTACAACCTACACCCACTTGGTGAATGGAGGTGTGGCCGTCCCCACTCCCACCTACCTTCTGGGCCCACAGGAACTCCATCACAGTCTGTGTGCTCAGACAGAGCCTGGGTGCCCTA